ATATCACACTCAACGCGGCCACACACACCTCATCGACAGCGAAGCATATCCAAAAACAAAACCATCACATGAAGCATTCAAAGATCTGAATACACATTTCATTATGTTTTTGGATTGGCAGCTATGCTGCCAAAGGCGAGCATCCAGATTCCTTTTCTGAAGCACAACGCAGACATCACACTGCATCGTTTCGCATAACAACAAGGCTGGCATATTGAACATTCTGTGCGTGCATCCTCTTTTGCATTTTCGACCATCACACCAGGACACATGCTTCCTTTTCTTTCGCTAAACAGCCATGCTACACACAGCAATGTGAGATTGATGAACTCCCAGGCATCATCAGAAGGGTACGCGTCCAGAGTCCTCTTCTGAACTGCACGCTCCCGTAGATCCTGGAATATGAACAGATTATTCGCCACTATTTTCAGATTATTCGCCACTATTTTCAGATTATTCGCCACTATTTTGATCGCATACGAGAATCTGAAAATTCTGAAAATAGTGGCGAATAATCTGAAAATAGCGGCGAATAATCTGAAAATGAAGGCAAAAAAATCTTAAAGTCCATTAGGGTTTAAATATATATGGTAGAGAGGTTTAGGGTTTCAGGTTTAGGGTTTAGGCTTCGTGCATATCTGTGCCATGAAGGATGTTGAGTATCAACCGCTCCCTTCTTTCCATCCCCGAGCCCTAGACCCTAGAGCCTATGCTCTGATCCCCACACCCCAATCCCAAAACCCTGAGCCCTAATCCTCAAACCCTGAGATACCCTAAACAGTCCCTTAAAGGGAGCATGAAACCTTCACCCTAGTCCCTGATCCCTTTTTTTCCCCTAAACCCTAAACCCTTATGAATCCCCCCACATATCCCCCCTTTAAGGAACTTTCCTTCCCGGTGAAGGGCATGCTTCAGGCAAGGGACAGCTCCAGAACCATGGCTATAAGGTAGAAGCCCAAATAGGCCTTGCCGAGTCCACCCTGGGGTTTTGGGCTTAGGGATTAGGGCGTGGGATTTGGGGTTTAAGACTTAAGCTTTCGGGCTTAGGGTTTAGGATTTGGGGTTGGGGCTTTAGGGTTTAGCGCCTACCCTGAACCCTAAACTTTGGGTACTGCCCCACAGTGTAATCTGGCTATTTCAAACAACTGAGAGGCAAAACCAGCCTAAACCCCGTTGTACTGATGAAAATGACAAGAATAGTGGATGCAGATAGTTTTGGACGACCCCCCCCCACCCTGTAATAGTGGTCTCATAGGAATTTAAGAGCACCCTGATATAATCCTTGTCATTGTCCCTTATAGTCCCTATTACAAGGTGGGGGGTCCACCTAATAGATATTACAGGTGAGGAACCCCCAACCCTAAACCCTGAACCCCAAACTCACATGAGTTTGACGACGACCGACCCGGGCCTTTTGCTTGTGCTCCTTGTACCTGAGCCCCAATGCTCGCAATGCTGCGTAGCAAGCAGAGTGTTTGGATGTTGAACTCTTTAGGGTTTAGGGTTTATGGCCCAAATAGGCGGATCTCTAGCGACTGCCTCCATAAGTACCCTAGACAACTGTCCTGTTTTACACTGAAGGCCCTTCGGTCTGGGGTATATGGGGGTCTCCCAAAAATTGGGAGTACCTGTTTTGGAGTCCCTATGAAAAGATTCTAGGGAAACTTATCATGTACTTGATCTGGCCCAGCGGCCACAGATGTAGGTCTTCAGCGACTTTGTCACTGAAGAAGTAGATGATCTGGTTGGCCTTGGCCAAGCAAAATCTGCAAAGCTGCGTCGATGAAAAGTCTACTACAGGGGCCTTTTGAAGTACCATATACTATGATTATACCAGGAATATGGGACCATAATATTCGTAATTATTTAGGCCCGAATAGTACAGTCAGTAAAGGCTCTATGCACCGAGTGTAAATCAGGCCCCTGTATCATGCTCCGTGATACTGGAACCCTCCCCAAGTGCTCTGAAAGAATTACCATAAGAACGTTATAGAATTAAAAAGAAATATATTGTCACAGCAATATACGGTAGTTTCCCTGAATAAGGGGACCCCACATATAACCCAATATACTATAATCCTTGTGTTGGGGACCCCCTAAAATTGGTACCCCTAATTTTGGGAAACCCCCCATATTTACAAATAATACAGCCAGCCACCAAGCTGTCCCGAGATCAGGGCTATGATCGAAATGAGCATGAGGAACTTTCCTGCACAACGAAGCTGTTTAGGGATTACCTGGACCCCCAAAGTATGTAGAAGAAATGGCCTTTTGGGCTATATTTCTTGGTTTTGGACTATCATTCTACCTTCTCTTGGGGTCCAGGTAGGCTTTAGGGTTTAGGGCCTGTGGTCTGACATTTAAGGGTTATATAGGGGCTAATAGAGCTTAGCGTTTAGAAAGAGCAACCTTACTCCGAACAGCTGGCAGTTCTCCGCATCAGGACATGTGACTTCACTGAAACTTAGATTGTGTATAATATAGTAGTTTCCATTTTCTTTTCCGTTATCCCCATAGAACCCCAATGATATATGCCATTCTATCTACTTAAGGGGGGGACTAGGGACCCCTGAATAGCAGCAGCGAACAGGCACGTGTCCGTTCAAACTGTTGGGCGTCCCATTCTCAGCATAGGAGAAGGACAAGACCTTAAGCACTTGAAGCTGTGAATCCCATGCTTGCAAGACGGCGAGGCCAGGGCGTAACGCGCGTAGGGGTACTTCAAGAAGTACATAAGAAGGATGATGACAGCCTGAAGCAGATGGCTGAGGACATGTCTGGAACTCTCGAAGTATTCTCCAGACAATACCTGAGGAGGACCCCTATTATCCCCACGCACTTCCCTAAACCCAAACATTTTCTGGGATCTCTTTTGCCTCCCCCCGCATCCATACGGCCTGTTGAGACACCCACCAAAGTCATCCTTAGAGCCGCACCGTGAGCTCTAGGACAGCGCAAAGCCACCTCGCTTCTACTTGCTAGGGAATGGAAAAAATGGACAATCCCTAGTTTCCCTTTTAAAGGGGGAGTTATGGGGAGGTATGTGGAAATAAATCCCCAGGTCTCCCCCGAAGAGGATATATATGGGGATATACAGATGAGCGGGGATCAAAACCCTTATCCGGTTT